CCCACAGGCTTCTGGGAACAGACACCTGACACTTCGGGAGGTCCTGCTTGACTTGGAGCACTGTACCCCAGCCCTGCTGCTTACACATGGGCTTCAGCTGTCCCAGCAGCTCCTCCCGGGACCACTTCAGCCACTCTCGACGGTCGCTGCTGATGGAACAAAAGATGGGGCTGCAGCCCTTTCCACAATCCTCCAGGGCTGGGACGTTCAGGTAGTGCACAAGGACGATGTCAGGGTTCTGAGAGCACAAGGGCACACACACAGAGGGCCGTGGGGTCCTGAGGTCCAAGGGCTCAACTACCTAATACTTGCTTCCTGGGTAACCCCCAGCCTCAGCCCCCACCCAGCTCTGCTCTTTCAACCCCTGCTCACTTCTTCCCAGGTTCCCTTTCCCTCTCAGAACTTAGTCATCCTTCTACTTCATTCCTTCAGCCCCCACCTCCCTCAAAGAGTCAGGAAGAACCTGGCTTCCTGAGCTCTTCTGTCCTTACCTGGAGCAGCCAGTAGCAGCGCCGATGGAATGTGGGGACGATGGAAGAGTGAACGTAGCAGCCATAGAGACACTGCCAGGAGACAGGCTGGGGTGGGGGGAGGGCTAGTCTGCTCCCCAACTCTTCCTCTGTTCAGTCCCTTTGCAGGAATCCCAATCTTTCCACCAGTTCCTCTTCAACCCTCACCTACCCCCACCTATTCCCCACACCTTTCAAATCCTAGTACCCGAGTCATAAGTGAGGGAGAGGAGAAGCAAACTGGCTAGGCTCTTACAACAAGGACCAGATTTGAGGCTACCAAGAAATCAGAGAGCAGTGCAAGAAAGTATCTGGGCTCAGGACAATGATTTGGGGGAAGAAAGATCTGTGCTCAGAGGTTCAGCACCTGGACCTGAGGGAAATGCAGGAGAGGTGAGGGAATTAGCATGGGTATCCCCAAGGGGGAGGCACGGCCTAAGGCCTGGAGAGCTGGGTCACGGGGAAAGTGGACAGCGGAGAGGCTAAGCTGTCAACCCACTGATCCAAAGTGAGTGAGAAGGAACAAGTGACTGGGAGGGGGTAGGCAGCTGATGCCTCCACATGTGGAAGGGCTGGAACCTAGCTAGGTGTGGACAAGGACAGGCCAGGACAGAGTAGTGGGATGCAGCGCTTACCTCCATGCCCTGGACCTTCAGCTTCATGTGATCCTCTCGGGTGGTCTTCCCATCCTTCCGCTTCTTCCAGAGGTAACCATCCTTCCGGTATTTCACCTTCTTGCGGTTGTAGAGGATAATGGAGCCATTCTGAGGCCTACAGAGAGAAGGGTTGGTCTCGAGTTCTGAGACCAGAACCCAGGACCGCTGCTACTCTCTGCCTTCTCACCTTGTCTTTGGGGCACAGGATAGCCACTCGTCGTGCTTCTCAAAGGTGATCAAATAGGATGCAATCTCCTGTTAAGAGAGGAGGCACTCAAGTGGGTGTCCCCTTCACAGTCTCAGCATGGCCTCTCAGTCATTCCCTCAGCCTTACTCTTTACTGACTTCCATTGACTAGTGAATACTAATACCCAGCTCCAATAAGGCCCACCGCCCTCCTAAGAATTCCAGGTTCTGTTTTAGATGGAAGTCTAACCTCTCCTTGCCTCCCGCCTAATTGGGGCCTTTATTTTAGAGCTCTTCATCATCCATTCCTCATGCTTCATATTATTTACTGGTGCCCAAATACCATTTTTGTGTCATTTCCTGACTAAAAAAATTTCAGTGTTTGATACTGCCAGGGACTCAGGAGTCCTCAGCCTAAGCCCAACACTTCCTGAATTGGGGTCAAATCGTAGTTTCCACTATTTATCAGTATAGCAGCTACCTTTCCCGCATTCATGCCCTGGACAGTCACCTCCCACATGTTAGTGTCCTGTGAAGCTTGAAGTGCCATGGGCACACCTCTGAGTCTGGCACTCTTGGCACTCTTGGCCATTTTATAGACCAGCTCCCTCCCCAGAGGGCCCTCAAGACTTGCAGACCACCCTGGCCTTCCTGAGAGGCTCCACAGTACTAACAACAGCACATGCACACTGGTACTGGTGATTCTAATCAAGTAAGTCAATTATGGTCAGCCACCACCTACACAGGAAGTGCTGTGTGGGGAGTACGGAGGTGGGGGGTAACACGAGGACTCTGTCTCCAGAAGAAGTGATGGTTAAAAGCAGGGGCTCTGGAGTAAGTTGGATAAACTGGATGAAGTAAGTCAGTTTCCTCATCTGCCCCACAAAAATAATAACAGTGCCTGTTTTGTAGTGTCCTTAAATGACTAGATGAGATAGTACAGGGTATTATCGGCATTTCCCTGCTAGCCTAGGGGTAAGTCTCAGCTCTGTCACTATGGTCAGAGTTCACTCTCCAACCAGGGAGCTGACCCACATGGTGTGGCAGATCTCTCCTGTCTAACCCGCTGCTCCCCTCAGCAGTGTGTTTCAGTGGACCTGCCTGTTCTGCTCCCCACTCTGTCTCTGGTGAACTCTGTTACACAACACTTCTGGCCTGCACTCCAGTTCAACTAAAATAAATAAGATAATACAGGTCTCAATGCTGGCTTGTAAGAAATACTTTTGTAGCTACTATTTTAACCTGGGTGGGACTGGCAAGGAGAAGTAAGCGCCTACAAGATGCAATCTCTAGAACTCTCCTATGATCCCCAAAGAGCTTACAGCAGTATTCTGCAGTACTTGGGCATGTTAATAGAGTGGAAGACCCCCATTTGCCCTCCTCCAGCCCACCAGGATTTGTTAGGTCCTAAACCCCAGGCTCCCTAGAAAACCTCATTTGTATTCCACCGTAACCGCTCTGGAGGCAGCAGTGGGCAGCGAGGAAGACACTCCAGCAGCTTCTTGGGAAGAAAGATCTTCAGGTGGTGGCTGTTTTCTAGGGAGAATTAGAAGGGAGAGCTTAGTGTGCTGCTCCCAACATCCTGGTGATAACCCTAGGAGAAAGGGCTGAATGGGGGGGGGGAAGGGGGGGAGTACTGAAACAATGATAAGAAGAGCAGGAAATCCAAGAATTACAGGGTCACCACACCATGGGGGGAAAAAAGGCTATGTCCATACTGGGAACCTGGATTATGAACTCACCAGCAACCTCGGTGGTGTCCTTGGTATTCATGGTGAGGGCTCCAGGGGGCAAGGTCACCCCCGGCCTGAGGGGCCGGGGGGAGGGGGAGTCTGTGCTGGGAAAGGAGAGAACAAGGTCATAACAGACATCCCCACACTAGTCCAGGAGGAGTAAGAAGGGGTGCAGTACTAGGTGGTTATATGTAGGAAAGATGAGGAAGTGAGCAGAGGGGGCTGGGCTGGACGATTAAGACAGTAGTTAGGGAATGGTGAGAGGGAACCCAGATGTGCCAGGAACCAATCTGAATGGGGAGACACCAGCAAACAGAGTAATCAGGAAGAGACAGGAGGGTGGGGGAGGGGAGAAGGTTGACAAGGCTGTTACTTCGGAAGCCCTACAGGATGGGCTTTTGGGGAGGCTAAAGTGGGGTCAGGTCCTGGGTGTAAGGACTCAGGGCTTCCGGACCATGGAGGATGGTTTGGGAAAAGAGGACAAGGACGCTGGGGGATGGGCAAGAGATCCAAGTCCAGCCCAGAGCAAGGCCTTAGAAGACACACCCTGAGTTCCTTCTCTATTTGATTTTTCCAAGGGGAAGGGCAGTTCTGATAACAGATCCTAACCTACTCTGTCTGCTCCAGTTGGTAAAGACTGGCAGAATCTGGGCTAGACACCCAGGACCCAGCTTCCCACCCTCAGAAAAACCCATCCTCCACCCCAGAATGGCAGTCCACCCCTAGCCCCCGCCCCCCACCTTTTTTCTCCCAAGCCCCTCTGCCTCTCCTGGTCCGGGCCTATCCTATCCCCTCTACCACTCTGGCTCCAGCCGGGCCCACACCCTCTTGGGGGAACACATGGAAGGTGGAGGAGGCTCTCAGCCTGGGCTCCGCCAGGAGGCCGGGGATGGAGAGGGGGAGGAGGCGGTCCGAGCGAGCGCGGCAGTGTGCCCTGCAGCCGGGGCTGGGGTTAAGGAATCCGCCCCACAGCGCAGGTGCGCAGTCGGGGCCAGGCAGACTGCCAGGGTGCGGAGCTGGCCCCCGGGGCGGCCCCCCGCGGTGGGGCGGTGGTCCCAGGGGAAGGTCCGAGATGGGAGGGTCCAGCTTCCCGTCCGCACACAGGGATGTTCCAGACAAGCTGCGGCGCAGAGACCGTGGGCGGGCAAAGGGCAGTGTGGGTGCCGGGGTTCGGGGGTCCCCGGGACAGTCCAGGCACTACAGGTCCGTCGTGGGGCCCAGTGCCGAGCGGCGCCCCCTGGCGCGGGGGAGGAGGACGGAAGCGGGCAGTGGGGGCGAACAGGGAGCAGGGACGGTGGTCCCCCACACGGAGCGCCGCGTCCGGGCCGGGTGGAGTTGCGCCCCCTGGCGCGGGGGCGGAGAGGCAGGTGAGAGGCCCTGGCTCTTACCTCCCGGGGTCCCGCGGGTGACGGCGGCGGCGGCCATTCTACCCCACACCGACCCCCCCTCCAACGCCGGCTGACAGCAGCGTCCGACGTCACTGCGCACGGGGCGGGGCCTCCCAATTAAGGGGAAGAGGGTCCGGACGCTAACTTGGGGTCAGCACACGTGGGGCTCTGGGTGGGGCGCTGGGCGGAGGGACTCGGCTTCCAGGGCCCTGAGTCAGGCCGAGGGACGCACTGGCGGGAAGCCCCTGTGGGAGCAGCAGTGCTGAGGGCAGGATTCCGGAGGCGGAAGTCTGGATGACTGATTGGCTCCCTGGCCGAAGAGTGGGGCACCGACAGCCCTCCAGCGCGGGGGGCAATGCTGGACTGGTCGGAGGACCTCTTCCTTCTCGGACAGGAGGAGGAACTTTGGGAGCGCAGCCCGGTTTCATTTTCGTTGGGTCTTGAGAGTTGAAAGGAACCCTCCTTTCCCCTGAGCCATCCCATCACTTTCGCCGAGAGAAAGACAACTCTGGACTCAACTTGCTTGCTTTTTAATAACAGAACAAAGAACGCAGTGCCAGGCAGTGAGACCTAAGGAACAAGAGGACTTGGGGAGTTCCTGTGAGAGGGGTGGGTTGAAGGGACTTTTAATGCCTAATTCAGAGAAGGGGAGAGGAAGTAGGAGAGGCTTTGAAAAGGAAAATGCCTTGATGCCAGAAATGGGGTGATGCTAGTGATGAGAACTAGACTTGGGTCCCTGAGCAGTGCTGGACTCTTGGCTTCTCCTTACTCCTCGGGCTGCAGCACCATGCCCCAGGGATTGTGAAGGGTGCTCCTACTGGCTGTGGCAGTGCTGTAGGGAGCCAGGGAGCTCAGTTGCCTGGAGAAACAAGACCCCTCCTGGCCCAGGGGACTCCAGGGAGACCAAAGCAGCTGTACGGAAGAGAGGAATTGAATTAAAATTATGGAAAAGTAGATCTCTCTCTAGAGCACCTAGTCCCCAGACCTATGTACCCCCGTCTTTGACTCTCACTTTGTTTTATTCCTTTCATGTCAATCTGGCTTTTGGCTTCCACTATCTTTCCATGCAAGACCGAGCATCCACATCACCCTCTACCAATCCACCAAGTTCCTCTATAAAGGTACCTGGGCCCTGCCAAGAGTGAGAAAATGGTCGTCCTCTTCCCCTGTATAGGTTCCCCTCTTCTCTTCCAGGTCAGAGCATTGGGTGATTGGGGGGACCCCATAGCCATCTTCATCAAGTACCAGAAGCTCAGAGGCAGGCCCAGAGTTGCTCCAGTGGGCCTTCTTCAGTCTGTGGAGACATCTCATTAGACTTAGGAAAGAGGTGCCTGGAGACCAGGCTTCCTGTCTGTCCATTCTTTATCTTTACCCTGAAATACCAAGAGTATCAGCATTCTGATGTCTAACACTCCACTCCCAACTTTCTGCCTCTCCTGACTGAAATAGTTTCAGTCCAGCGCAGTAGTTCAGCAGTAGTTCCGCTATCCCAGTGCTGTGGAGTACCTTCCTGCCTCCAACTGCTTTCCTGCAGTTTCCACTCCTCTACCTCATGTGATTGTCCTCCATTCCTCACTTCACTCCTCCTTTCCAAATATGAAAATTCTCCTTCAATAGCACTAAGTCCTTGGTTCAAATAACTTCCAACTCCCTCAAAGCTCTCCACCCCACCCTTAGTTCAAACCACCCTGCCCCCAAACCCTGCTTGGCTCCCAGAGCCCAGATGTATCTCCTTACTCATTGATGATTCTCTGTCGTCTCCTTAGGTCCTCTAGATGACAAGTGACAGCCCTCACCTGGGCTGGGACCCCCTCTGGTCCCTGTTGCAAATGTGTCCTCCTTCTCTTTCTTCTGCAAACCATCTCAGGGGGCGGAAGCCCCTCTGGGTAGTACTGTCCAGACTGGGAGTAACCAGTGGCTCTCTATTTCAGGGAGTGGGGAAGAGGAGCTAAAGGGCAGCACTGGATCTCTCAGGGAGCTCCAGGGGTCTTGGGAAGGACACATCACAGAAATATAGCTGTGATCTGGAAAACATGATGATTAATTAATAGGAAGGAGGGTTTGGTTAGTGCACTGGATGGGGAACAGAAGAATGGGGTAATAAGGAGCTGGAGAGAGGATGACTGTGGTGTAGTTTTAATACAGAAGTGTTGAAGAGCAGAAAGTTTGCCATACCAACAGGGGTGAGATGCACTGTTCCTCCATCCAAGTGGGGCTGTGAAGCACAAAAAGGGGCTAAGTGCAGGCTGGACATCCCCCCCCCCATAGTGTCTCTTTTTAATGACCTTTGTCAACCACTCATCTATCTAATGTTAGGAACTCTGTCCATCAGTCAGCGGGGACAATTATCTCCAGACTAGAGCTTATTGTTATAAGGTTTTATGGAAACTGAAACTGTATAGCTTCACCATCTCACTCCAGTTAGTCCCCATTTCTTCCAGTTCCACCCACCTGGGCCTTTGACTGAGTTTCTCCCAGAAGAAGTCTCCATAACACTGGGGAGTCAGTCTGAGGCTCTGGGGAGGCAAGTTGAGGGGTGGAGATCTGCTGACCACCTTGGAACACCTGAGGTAACAAGATAGGTTCAGTCTGGCTCCCTGCTTACAGCACGGCATCTACATGTCACAGGGACTCAGGGGTCTTCTCTTTGGATCATACAGTTGCTGAGGCTCTCTTAGGTCACATACTCCCTTACCCATTTTAGCTAAGGAAGGAAGATGGTGAGGCCTCTGATTTGAAAGGAGACTGGAGCTGGGTTAAGGTGGAGTCTGGCAATTGCTTAAGCCTTAGATCTCACGTTTCTATGAATAGAGAAATTCATATTTAGCAAGCAGAGCTATTATTATAGAGGAAGGCCTTGGCTACTCAGGTGATGGGACAGAGAGGGTTTCTTCCAGTTAATGCTAAGACCCAGGACAATAACATCTCTCTCTATTCCTGTCTTTCTTCCCTATGTCAGAAGGACTAGTATCTTTTATAAGATTAGTTTATGCATACAAGAGTTGGGGTGAGGCAGTGAGAGGATTCACCACAGAGTGGAGAGCAGAACATGCAGATCTAGTGAAATAACTGCAGAGGGGAGCAGGAGAGGTCTGCTGTGCCCCCTTCCTGGCTGAGGATCGAACTTGTGCTGCAGTGGCTATAGATAGCTGCACAGTGCTGTGACTTAACCCCTTGTGCCACCAGGGAGGTTCCAGAAGGACTAATATCTTATAGGTAGGGAGTGCAGAGCTGTTTGAGAAGAATACTTATCACTTAAAAGCCCCAGATTGAGAGATCTCTAGAGGGAGATCTTGGGTCTGGATCCTATGTTCTCCATCTCTCCTTAGGTGATCTCATCCAGACCTTGACTTTAAATAGTGTAACTAGCAGCCCCAAACTGAGTGGCAATAGCCTGGGCTATGACACAGCAGCTGGATTTGATGGCCAGTCCTGGTACAGCCATGCTTGGGTTTTAAGAAGAAAAGAGAGGAAAAGTATGGTGGTTTTGGAGGCCTGACCAGTGTCATTCAGATACAGTTAAGCAGAGCTTTGGCATAAGATGGTACATTGAAGGTTAGATGTACTATGAGAGTTTTGGTTTTGAATCCCAAGCTGGTTTTGAAAATGGACCAGGTCTGAGTTTCCACTGACACCAATTAAATTCAAGGTACACTGGCACCAATTAAGTCTTGGAAAGAAATGGGTTGAAAATGGACCAATCAGGTTAGAAAGGCGGGTACCCTGAATGGGGTATTGATATAAGCAGAGACTTAGGTGAGGCTAAAGATTGTTGGAAAGAAGCTGCTTGGGAGAGGAGCTGCTTGGAAGGCCTGACCAGCTTGAGTGGGGAGGCTTGATTCAGTCTAGGAAGGTTTGACTCAGCTTGAAAGACGTTTCAGGAGGAGACTACCTTTGGCTTCAAAGAGATGCTGCTGTGGTGCTGCCTCAGTACTGTGACCTGGGACTATCCCAGCTGCCACAGGTTAGCAGGATCCTGGCCCTCGCTTAACAGTGTGCCACCAGTACCAGGCTCCCTTCAGAGAACACCACCACCTTGCTCAAGTAGCTTTTGGTCTGGACTCTTGGACAGGGTGGACACACTACTGGGGTAGGACACCAGATCACTTGTGGCCTTAATTTCCGTTTGTAAATAAACCCTATGGTGCTTGCATTCTGAGACTAAGCCATGTCTTACAATTGTGAGGACATGATGAAGAGCCCTCAAACTGTGAAATCTCCCACCCTGGCACACTTTCAATACCACCAATGTGTGGAAGATTTCCAAGTTCTATTTCTAGCCCTTTCTTCTCCTGGGGCTTCAGATTTACTGGTTCAACTGCTCTCTCAACATCTCATTTCTTTTCCAGCACTTCCCATCTCACTGAAAAGCACCATAAAGGCCCTATTATAAAGCCAAAAATTTTGGCTTTATAATAAATTTTGCCTAACTTTTTCTCACTTCCCATATCCAATCTCTCAGCAAGTGCAGTCAGTTTTCCATCTAAAATATACCCAAATTTGGGCTCTTCCTGGTGGTGCAACAGATTAAAGCACAGCACTAAGAAGCTATCTTCCACAGTCACTGCAGCAGAAGTTCAATGCCTGGCCAGGGAGCTGACCCACATGGCACAGTAGACCTCTCCTGTCTCGCCCACTGCTCGCTCAGTAGTGGATTTCAGTCAGTCTGCCTGTTCTGCTCCCTACTCTGTCTCTGGTGAATCCTCTTACCCCCTGTACCTCTGGCCTGTACTCCAGCTCCTGTATGCATGAATAAATAAAATAAATCTTTAAAGATATTGAGTTTATTTCAAAATAATCTGAGTAGTAAGGGTCTGGATAAAAAAAATGAATAAATTATCCATGTAATACTGAAGTGTCAGGTTCATGATACTATTTCCTTTACATGTGTATTTGAAATTTTCCATAATAAAAAGGTGAAGCGATATAAAAACAAAAAGGAAAAAACAAGAGAAAAAAAGTGATTTATCATTTTCTCACTTAATACCTTCCACTGATTTCTACTGCTTTTTAAATAAAGCCCAAACTCTTCTCAGTGGCCCATAGGATCCTGCATGGTCTGTTCCCTCCCTAAGTGCTCTCCACTTTTCCCTTGATCACAAAGTTTCAGTTACACTATCCTCCTTCCTGGTCCTAGAATATACCAAGCTTGTTTCCTTCCTGGGGCTTTTTAACCTACTATTCCTTCTTCTCTTCCCTTATCAGACTAGCTTCTTCTCATTTTTCAGATATCACTTTACCTCCCCAGAATAGTCTTCATTAAACACTCTATTAAGCCTTGTGTTTCTAAGACATTCTATTTTTCATTGTCATATTCCCATTATATTTTATTTTTCACGATACTTTCACTAGCTGAAATTCTACTTACTGGTTTATAAATTCTATCTCCTCCCTCAAGAATATAAGCTCTATGAACAAGACTCCATCTTTCTAATTGTTAAATGCAGAGCGCCTAGCACAGTGCCCAAACTGTGTCACTGAAAATAGTTCAAACAGTACTTACTGAATAAATTAATAAATCATCAATTTTCTGACATGATATTGTTCCCTACTCCTCTCAGGGAAGCATCAAAGCATGCAATCCTTCCTCCATCCCACACCCATCCTCCCCACTGGGTGGAGAGGACTCACTTTGCAAAGGGAATGAGGTTGTCATCATCTTCCTGCACCTGCATAACTGCACTGTGCTGGGTAGCTGGACTGAACCTCCTCATATGTGCTGGGAGGAAAATGGAAAATGAATTATTTGCACAGGTAATGGCTGGATGGATAAGACTGGTAATAGCTCCAGAGATTGGAAATTGGGATGTGTGAGAGCTAAAAAAAGAAAAAGAGCTTCAAATTTCTTTTTAATGCTGGGTATTTCTATTAGATGATCATACAGGTTGAAGATGGTAAACACAGGAAATGTGCAATTGACATAAGAAGAAAATAAAGTCTCTGAAGCCAAATGTATGGAATAAGTGAATTTAGAGATGGAAGTTAAGTGATAGATGATGAAATGAAAAAGGATGTCAGGTGGAGACTAGATGGGACAGAGGAATTTGGGGTGGTTGGTATAGAATTTGTGGTTGAGGTTGTTTGAAAGTGCATAATTGAGGGTGGTAATAAATCAGGTATGAATGGTGAGTGAAAGTTAAGTGAGCACAGAATGGTTAACTGGTGACAGGTAGGTAGGAATGTCTAGGTAAAGATGGTGAGCAGAGAGGTAAGTTGCACAGAGATGTAGGGACATCCTAAGGTGATCTGAGGGCCATTTGGGGTGCTCAGAAAAGGCAGATAAGAATACAAGATAGCAGGGTACCTGTAGGCAGCATAAAGGACAGAAAAGACCAATTGGACAATGTTAGAGGTGAACAAGTATTAATCCAAGGCCAAATAAGGATGGGCTGAGAAAGCAGTTAGATGAGATAAAAAAATAAAAAAAAATGGAGAGAGGTGTTATGTAGGGTTGAAGTGGCAAATAGGACAGGACAGTTACTGCTAGGATGAAAAAGCAGAGGGTATCTAAGTGGGATATCTGGGACCAGAGGGGTTAAGTTGAACGCAGTGGGCAGTTGGGAGCTGGTAGATCTCAGGTAGTTGGGTCTAAGTGGGTAACCAACGGGGTAAGATGGGGCTAAAGGAAGCTATTCAGGGTAATGAACGACTAGTTGACTAGGGGAAGCGAAGGGGCTGAAAAGCACGCGCGTGTCCCAGGGTACACAGGACTTGAGGGGTCAGGCTGACTGAAGAGCTGGCCTGAGTCTGGGGGAGAGTTGGTGGTGGTGGTGCGGGTAAACCCTGCCTGGAAGGAAGGTCCGGGTTTGGGCCTGAGGGGTAACTGGACGCCTGCAGGTGGACTGGGGCGTGGCTAGTCCTTCTAGGGAAGCCCGGCGGACAGCACAACAGGGAACTCGAGGACTCCAAGTCCTCAACACTTCTCCCCACCCTAACCCCTCCCCTCCTCGCCCCGCGGGTGGTTTATCCATCCCCCGGGGCAGTCTGGGGCCAGACTATCCTAGGGGGTGGCCTGGGCCTGCGCCGCACCCAGGCCTGAGGGGCTGGCCAGCGCCTGAGGTGGCGGCCGGGTCCTGTCCAGTCGGCCAAATTTAAGGACCGGGCCAGGCCAGAGCGCCCTGCTGTAATGCCGATGCCGACTGCACCGGGCCACAGCACCTGAGACAGTCGCGCGGCGAATTCTAGAACCACCGGCCGGGCGGGGAGGAGAGCCGCGCTGACTGGAGCCGGGGAGGAGCCGGCCGACGCCGCGCGCCTGGGGGCGGGG